CTTCATGTTTCATAATAAAGACAAATCTAACTTCTCGAGTGCAAATTTGTACAGCTAAATGGTCTTGTCCAAACAAGATGTAACCCTTATTTGATTTTCATTATTTTCAAAATATTTTTTTCCCTCTTTCTTTCAGCCACACATTTTTCAATAAAATAATATTACACGTAAATCTAAAACATTTTCTTATTTTTTAATCTCATATTTTTCATCAATTTATTATTCTAGAATGCATTCTTGCAATATAAATGGGGCTCAATCAGGCAAGGAGTAACCACCCAGAAAGTAACTAACAATTTGTGGCCTACCATGCGTACGGGGTCAGTGACAAGAGCTTTCCAAGTGTCCCTCCTTACATGTACGACATGACCACCACCCAGCAAATAACTAACAATTTGTTGGCCCGCCATGCGTACGGGGTCAGTGACAGGAGCTTTCCCATTGTATTGTCCCTCCTTACATGTACGACATGACCATTTCTTTTGGTGTCGGAGTCGGAACTAGTACAATAATCGAAGAACGATTGGTTTTTGAATCTCACCAAGGAATTGACTTTTTTGACCGTTTCTTCTTCTAAACTCATTTGAGTTTCATGGTGGGGGACGACGAGTTGGAGGACGAGGGGAAGCTTTGGAGTCGACAATACATTAAAAGCTCGTTTTCCAGTCTAACTCCAATTTTTAATTCACCTTAATATCTTGTTTTAGTTCCATCCTTGTAAAAAATTATTGTTTTTTAACTTTTAAGAAATTCATTTTAAGATGCAAAATAATAAATCGTATCATACATTAATTTACCTTTTTTTTTCCCTACATTTTTATCATACATAAATCTATGGGTAATCAGCCAATTGTATCAATTAAAACTCCACACTCAGAATTCAATTTTGCACAAATCCATCTGCTCGAAGGCTCTGTTTCAGCTCCAATCGATGATTCTATTGATGTTATTGTTACAAATTCTGTGCATATCCATCCGCCCCAATTGTTTGAGTTTCAGTATTAGTTAGAGTTGTGGGGATTGTGTTGGTGGTAATGTTAGTTGCCTTCCCGGTCGTTTGATTGTGACCGATTTTGTGTTGATTGTGACCGATTGTGACTTGAGATGACTTGGTCACAGAAAGTCACACTCAACACAAATTTTGTCACAATTAGTCACATTGAATACACACTTGGTCACAATTAATCACATACAATAACACTTCACACAAATTTTTTTTCCGATAATTTTTTTAGGAGGTGGAAGCAAGGGTGGAGTGGTGGTAGGTGGATCCATGGGTTGGGGGTGTGATTTTCAATTTTTAATTTTATGGAAATTTTAAAAATTGCCGGAGCGGCCATCAAAGTGATCGTCGGAGAAGTCACCGAAGCAGTTCGTCGGGCCGTCACCGGAGCAGGTGCCGGAGATGGAGGGGTGGGTGAGGTGTCATGGGATGTAAATAATTAATTTATATTATATTATATTTTAATATTTAATAAATTTATTGACCACCTGATTTTTGAAATATTTTAATAAGTTTATTATTTATGAAATTACTTTAAAACTAGGAATTATGTATTTTTCCTAATTCACCACCTCCTTATTCCTCAGTCTTCTCAGGGATTTCTTTCACCTCTGGAGCTGCTGCTTATGTTTTTTTCTTCTGGGGCAGGCACTTCTTCTTCTACTGTTGCTGCAACTGCAACTTCTTTGGTCTCAGCTTCTGAGGCAGGTTCTTCCAGAACCTCTTTAGTTTCGGTTTCGGCTTCGGGTGCCGGTGTCTCATCCTCGGTAGCGGAGGGTTCTTTTGGTATTTCTTCAGTCACCACGGTGGGAGTTGGTTCTGCCGCCACCTCTTCCGCTTGATCAGCCAGCAGAATTTTTTCTTCCTCGATTTTTACAGTCTCTGGGACTGTTACTTGAACATATTCAACCTGCAGAAATTAAAGCAATTTAGTTAACAAATGTGCGAGAAAATAAGGGAAAAAGATCAAAATAATATATCAATGTGCTAATTAAAAATAGAAATTTGGAAAGTAATATATACCTCAGCTGTGGCCATTATTTTGGAAGGGTGATTGGAACTGAAATTGAAAGAAAAATATTGTAAAAGGGGATTTCTTCGCTTGTGAATAATATGACGATGAGAATTTATCAATTTGAGTGCTATTTATAGGGATGAGAATTCAATATTACTAATTAAAATAATTAATAATGGGGTGGAATCACTAGAGAGACCTCTAAATCTTTCCAAATTGCCATCTCATGTTATGTAAAGGACGTTAGGCATGTCTTGCAGTAAATTGTAGACTACCGATGGATGCACGCCACATGTCAATTATGTAATATATTATGTAAATGATTATGTACTTGTATCTTGGTCTTATTAAAGGATTATGAAAGAGGCAATTCCACATGGTCGAGGCCATTTCGTGGCTATCGTTTTCTTTTCTTAAATGACTAATTTAAATCATGTTTTCAGAAAACTAGACCGTTTCTAATGTAGTTTTCTTAGCAAAATGAGAAGGTAATTAATCCACAATTCCTTCTAGTAAATTGTTGGATTCACAAAATGAGAAGGTAATTAAACTATATTCCACTAAATACGACCAAGATAATTATTTATAACAATTCTTTGCAATCGAGTAGCCGAATTTGATTTTAGAGTATATTCGTTGAAAGTAAATTTCATTAAAAAACAAATTTAATCTTTCCATTGTCATTTAAAAGGGAGGGGGGAGGGGGGGGGGGGGGGG